GCCTTTTCATCTGGGTGTTTTCTGCTCGTCTCAGTAGAGGAATCATTGATGAAACATTTAAGAAAATGTGTTGTGAACATGAATTAATTGAGCAATGGCAAAGCCATTCCTGCATAAAAGAAAAGAAAGGATAATAGATATCTAATAATCATTTGCTGGGTGCTGAGAAACAGCACAGGCAAACAGTAGTGAGTTGTGCCCTTCAGTGAGACCAGAAGGGTTTGAGTCATGGCTCTGCAAGGAGTGCTTTGAAATGAAGTCTCAGAGCTATTCACAAGCTTCAAAACAAATAATCTCTGTGCTGACGTGTGACATCATGCCTCCAAGGTACAGGGGTCCCAAGGGTGCTGTTAAATGATAGCAGGATGGAGTGCACTTTGTCCTGACATGATGTTTAGATGCAGAAAACAAGCTTTCAAATTGCTGCCATGTCCCTGTGCAGCCTGTGCTGCTGGTTCAGAACAAAGGGGATGTCCAGGTGTTTCAGCTGTTTTTTGCTGAAGCTTTGGCTCTGTGGGCAAAGGGCTGTGGCTTAACTCCACTCAATGCTTTCTCTTGGTGCCTGCTGTGAATATTACTTGTCAAAGTGTCTCATGTTTTCCTTTTTTGCACTTGTTTAACATCTTTAGAACTCTCTTCCCACATTTCCCATGCAAACTTCAGTGGGCTCAGCTCTGCAAACCCTGTGAAGCAAAGGTAGTTGCCTCTTTAGCAAGCAAGGCAACTGAGTTAGGAAAGGCCAGGGAACCCAGAGCCCCTAAGCAAAGAAGCTTTGAGGCCTCTAAATATCTTTGAAGTCCTGGATCTTCAAGCCCTTCCTGTGGTTTAACAGTAAGTGTTAGGCCAAGAAACAGTCTTCTGGTCTTCTCATGTTCCACTTTTTCCCCTCTCTTCCAGCTTCTCTGCTTTCATTTTTCTTCTTAGCTCGTTTGCTAACAGTCTTTGCTTTAACTTCCACTGGCTGAACATCTCCCTCAAACACACAGCCATAATGCTGGGACTAAACTCTGCCTTTCAAACTGACTCTTGGTGCTTAATACAGCTTTTATCACAGGAAAATCTTTTTCTTTCTGGCTCAAAGTGAGCCTGGAGAAATATCTTATAATGGCTGAAAGCCTTTTACAGTGGTAAAACGTGGCAAAAATATGGATACATTGGTATCTACAAGCAGAAGGAGAAGGAAAAAACAATTAACTGAAATGGCTTGTGATCACTGCAGTGCTGCTGGGGTAGTGGGAATATGTGTGCAAGGTCTTTGGTACTGTACTCCCACATGCAAAGTGAAGTTCAGGAGTGTTCCCAGGCACCTCTGCCTTTGAGGTTAAGTTAGCAAGCACAAGCAGCTGGGGACACTTGTTGAAATTTGAATCTGCTTTTCTTGGTTTGCTTGCTCCCCCCATCGAGTGGCAAGAGTCATTGCTAGAGCTGGAACTCAGATCAGCCCATGGTAATTAACAGAAATCACTTCAACCTTCTATTACATAGGAACTGAAATAGTGCACCAATACATACAATTTTCAAGAGGAAGCGAGAAAGGTGATTCCTGTCTTGGAAACAAAAGAAGGAATTCAGCCAGTATGTAATTATTCAAGTTGGTCCTGTCTGTATTTAATATTCTAGAGTGGTATTTGATGTAAATCCTTCCCCAGAGTTCATTACATTAGCTCTTAGCTCAACCTGAGCATGCTGAGTGCCAAGTTCAGCATGCAGCATGTTTTATCACCAAGGAGAATGACGTCAACTTGGTGATCCTGCAGCTCCCCAGCTCAGGGGAGGAGGTATGGCTTTGTCTGCAGCCTAAAGATGAAATGAAATATGTTTGATAAGATTTTCTTGGTATTCGCAGTGTAAAACGTGTGAGGAGTATTGCTTTTTACCTCCAGCAAGAACTATCCCTTTTTGCCTAAAAAAAAAAAAAAAAGAAAAAAAAAAAGGTTACTTTGCTTGTAATATTATTCTACAGAGAAAATGAAATTTTTGCTTTACAGATCCCTAAGCTTTACAAGCAGACCCACAGAGCCCTTTCACAGGTGGGTGAAAGGAGCTGCAGGGAAGCACAGGGGCTTGTGGGCATCCACACCATGGCAAACCCTGACCTTGTCCTGGGGCTGCCTGGCTGCTGCTCAGGGCTCTGCTGAGGATCCTGCTGACTGCCAGGAAATGGGAAGAGAAATGCAGAAAGCAGGTGCTTTCATAAGAGTTTGTCTGTGGTGTTTTTCAGAGATACTGGTCAGAGCTCCTGAGATGCCAGAGCTTCGTCCTCCCAGCCCACTGTGTGCTGAGCTTGGTGAGTCCCAGCAGAGCCAAGTGCCATCGGCGGGCACACGGTCCCAGCACTGTCCCCACCTGGGTGCTGCTGGCTGTCTCTGGTTACTCTAAGTAGGGCAGACTGCAGGGACACAGCGGAATGGGAGTGGTCAGGAACGGGCAGGACGCCCAGCCACCCCTCTGGGACTGCACTGGGAACGACATAACATCAGACATGGCTTTTGGGGTTAATGAGGGAGAAAGGCTTCAGTTGCTTGAGTACAGACAGTTTTCAGGACATTGTGAGAGCAGAGTCAAGTACTGACAACCTGACACCTGACAACTAAGTCCTAAAAGCGAGCAGCCTCTCCCAGGCCCTCAAATTCCACGCTGGCAGACTCGGTGCCAATGTGCTGTCCCCTGTTATGACAGATCTTTGATAAGGCAAGGTCAAAAAGTGCGAAGTTTTAGCTGCTCTGTCATGCTAAGAAAAAAAAAGCCGAACACCAACCAACCAAACACCACACAAACCCTAAGAACAACAGAAAAAACAAACTACCCAAAGCCTTGTTTTAAAATAAGCTGTTTAAAATAAATAAGTGTTCTTTGAACCACAGCAGAGTACATACCTAACAATGTTTGTTAAGTAAATGTCAGTGACATGTTTAAGTCTGGCTCAGTTGGTACTAGCAAAGTGATATTTGTGTTGCTTTTGTTGTAACAAGAGTCAATCATGTTTGTAGAAGATGATCTGAAAAAAGGGACTTTGGATTTAGGGTTTTGTTTCTTCCATCTGCCTACCAGTAACCCCACTTTGGGACTTAGAAGTGAAAGCCCTTCCCAATGCATTGAATTTGGTGAAGTTATACTTACTTCCATTGGCTTAGCTCTGTTCATAATCTGCCTCATGAGTGTTACTTCTTACCCATGGATCCACTTCTTGGATAATTTTGTCTTTCTGAAGGAAATCTATCCTAGGTCTGGTTACAAATATATGGTCACATTATTATAGTGTGGTAATATACATAGTGCTGTGGCTGAGCAAAGTTCAGACCTACTTCTACCTCTTCTGATCAGAAGCACCCTGAGGTTAGATTTTCTTCTTGTGCTGCAAGCAGAGAGAGCCAGAGAGCCCCACGCAGGCCTGTCTCACTGCTTGGCCACTGTTCTGACCCAGTCATGAGATATTTGCAAACTCCACAGAGGGACTGAGACAGCACCACATGGCCCAAAAGCCAATGGCTCCTTTTCCATTTGCAGGAAAACAAACAACCCCCCCCAAAACAAACAAAAAACCCCAAACAAACAAAAACCAAACCACCATCAGTTTCTAATTTAAACAGCTGTTTATATATGTATTTATATTTTTGTCTATCCTTTAGCCTTTTAAGAGCCAGATATTAACTCTAAGGTTAGTGCACAGAGGAATGCAAAGCAAGAGAACAGGTTATAACAATGATGATGCTGAATTTGAAATTCTCTACCAGAAACAAAGGGGTTTTTTTCTGTAGGACGGGCTGTGAGGAAGTCAGACTGATTCATAAGTGTCCTTTCCAGTTATGTCAATATAAACCATCTCTTTGGGTATGCTCAGAAATTATGGGCTTAAAAAATCCTCACTGTAAACTCCATGCTTCCATGTATGGGAGGCAAAATGTTTATTTTATCAAGCATTTATTACACATACCATGCAATGTATCTGACTCTCACTGCGCAGGCACAATACACAGTTCTATTAGAGCAGCTTTCACATCAGCACAGGGTCACAAGGCAGGAAGTGTTGGGGTGGCCCCAGGCATCACCTGATGATTCACTTTCCAATATCAGAGAGGGAATCTAAAGGAATTTTGTTTAGAGATTGAGAGAAAACTAGAGTGTATTCAACTGGCTACAAAATACCTCCAAAGTAAGGGAGTTAACCATGCTGCTTTTGGCCCAGCCCAGCCCAGCCTGGATGAGGGCGGCCGTGCAGATGATTTGGGAGCTGTGGAACACCATCTCAGGTGAGGAATAGCAGCTTTGTCCGGCCCCAATCCTGCTGGCGGAGACGCAGGAGCTGCTGAGAGCTGGTGGCTCTCCCTCAGCCTCGCCAGGGCTGTGCTAGCAGCGGGTGTTACTCTCGTGCAGGATCAAGCACACGTTATGGGAAGGAATGGAGATGGACAGGCACTGCAGGTGCTGGAGGCAACAAGTGAGCTGTGTGTGGATGGAGCCATCACTGGGGATAGCCGCTCCATGGCCCAGCCGAGGGCAGGCAGGGCTCAGGTGGGTGCAGAGCTCGGCTTGGTCCGTAACGTCTCGGGGAAAAGCTGCGTTAGCGAGGCCAGGGCTGCGGGAACAGAGCTCCCGCCCCGGGAGAACCTCGAACGACGTCTCCCCGTCCGAGGCGCTTGGAGGGAGGGAGGAAGGCAGTGCCCGCCCTTCTCCCCGCCCTCTGCCAGGGCGCGCCGGACCCAGCCCCGCCGGGCCCGGGAAATGGCGGCGCCACGAGGTGCGGTGTGGGGGCTCATGGCGGCGGGGCCGCGGCCTCGCTCCTCCCGCGGCGGGCTGAGGTGCCCGGGAAAGCGGCGGGGCTCGGCCGCGGCCTCCCGCGCTCGCTCGCACACGGAAAGGCCCCGTCACCGAGCGGCTGGAGCGGCTCCCGTGCGGTGGCGGCGCGGCCCGGCCTGGCCGCGGCTGTGCCCGTGAGCCCCGTGCCCATGCAGGAGCTCCCGCCCGGGGCCCAGGTAAGCGCTGCCCGCTGCCGCCCGGGATGGGCTGCTCGTGCTGTTGGTTTTGTGAGGTAGCCTGGGAGCCACCACTGCGGCCTTTTTGGGGCTGTTGGAGCCGCATCTTAGCGTTGGATCTTACTTAGCTCCATCTGTGGGATGAGCACCCTTTTGGCAGAGAGCGCAGCCCTTCACAGCCATTTGGTGAAAGCAGTTTAGGTACCAGTATCGCTTCCCTCAGAGCAAAGCAAGTAAAGCTTAAAAAAAAAGCCTGTTTGGAAAAGGTTTAAGTAAGGTGGGCTAGTACAGCTGAGTCCCAGTATATATTGAGCACAGCACCATAAAGGCCATGGTTTAAAGGCCGTGTTGTGTTTTGGACTGGCCCAGGACTGCAGTAGAGTCTGAACGGGAAGCACGGCCTCACTTTTGCATGGTCCCTGGTTGCTTTGCTGTGTGCTGCCAATGAGTGATATTGGTTCCTGTCGGGAAACAGAGGTGGGCTGTAAAAAGATTAAACTGAGTTTGGAGACAGGAATAGGGAACTGCCTTCCTGGCTGAGTGGTTAGGCTCTGCAGTTAATTTAGGAGGGCTCAGTCTGTTCTGAGACTTTTCAGGAGTTTCTTGTGGAGATTGATCTGGAGGACTAAGAAAGTGGAGCCAGTGGCACTATATTGACTCCACTGATACTATCCTCCTACATTAAATGGTGAAAGAACAAGGCCTGCCTGTGAGATAAAAGTCAGGACCTACTTGATCTACCTACAACGTTTAATGGCAGTGAGAAAGAGCAAGTTAAAAGACATGTGTTTCTGTAGTAAAAGGTTGGGTGTGTTTGTTTTAAATCTACATTAAATTGTATTTCAGGGCTATTGTGTTGTCTCTTGTATTTCTGCTTTTGGCATGTCTCACCTGTGTAATTGCTCACAGGCCCTTTGTTCCCGGCTCCAGCACTGGGTGAGGAGGGACACTGGACATGCCTTCGATTACGGTAACCGGTTTGAAAACTGTTTTCAGCCTTAGAAACCTGTGTGAGACCAGTGTGGCCTTCTGAAAGGGCTTCACGTGATGCCCTCCAGTGGCGACAACGTGAATTTGGAAGCACAGGGAATTGGAAAAAGGGATCCTTCTGGTCTGCCCTGAAGGGGTTTGGGCAGCCCTGGCAAAGTCCCCAGATAGCTGCTGGGGGAGGCGTGGTTGAGAGTGTCCTGTCCTTTGGCAGTTCCTGATGCTGCAAGTCCTACAGGGATGCATGGATCACTGCTGTACATGAGGACCGCCTGTGGGCTTCAGCTGGCCAAAGCCAGAGCTTTAGGCATGAGCTTCTGTCCTTTGCAGAGGATGGATTTTGCTGTGTGCCAGTAAATGCCCATAAGGAAGAGGAACAGGAAAAAAAGACCCAACAGGTACCCAACAGGAAAAATGCAGCTTGCAACACTTAATGTTAGAGACAAGGACAACTCATTTTTAACTGACTGTTGCCTTACCACATTAAGTAGTTCAGCCAGAGTTCCCGTATACAAGCCAGAGATAAGAACTGTGTTTGCCTCATCTGAGATACCTTTCAGTGCAGAGAAATTGATCTCAGATCAACAGCTCAAAACAGTTCTCCAAGTTGAGTGCTGTACCCAGAGTTCCAATAAACTGAATACAGAGACATGCAGAAGTGGTGTGAACTTGCAGATTAGTAGACCTCTGCAGTGGAAGTGTGGCCTCCCTGTAACGGATTTATGTAGAGATTGTTAAGAGCAACAGCTGGTTCTAAGAAACACACATTGTCAAGTTTCCTTTGCTGCATAAATATTTAAATGATGGGGTTTGGATTCCTAAGGGAGGAGAAGCTTGGGCTAGTGCCAACAGGTGCAGCTTTTATTAAACAGAAACATAAAAATTCATTTCCCTTACTGTTTTTACCTAGAAACCAACTGTGTATTTGTTCTTTCTTTCAGATAGTTCTGTCGCAGCCTTAGCTGTCCTGTGCTGTGCCTGGTGATGACCATGGGGTCATTCTCCTGAGCAGACTGCTCTGTACTCAGCCACCCGGCCTACATTCTCCAATTCTCTAGATTCACCAAGCTGGCAGCATAACAGTGGAGCTGTTTGGTACCTGTGGAGTCCCACTGCAGGGGTGTCTGAGCACCTCGCATTTGGCTCAGAAAAGCTGCCCTTGCACAGTCCACCAAGAGGGTTGTGAAGTCCTGGGGACTTGCCAGTTCAGTTCACTAGTTGTAAAGTATTTTGCCACGTTACAGCTATGGTTTAAACACTTGAGAGGAAAGCTGGTGGTGGGGAGAGGAATTATGGGTTCACCAGCAGCGTTTGTGCATTAGAGGCTCTGTTTGGAGGTTCAGATGTCCTCATACATCTGCTGTGATACCTGTGTGTTACACACTTTCAGGTATCTACTTGAAAATAAGAGTGGGGCTCAGTTCTTGGCTGATACGGGTAAAACATGTTCCAGTGGGGAGAAGTTGGACCCAGAGTCAAGGAGTACATTTAAAGAATGATGCTTTCTCACCACTTCAATCCCCTGCACAGGAGCTGTACCCTAGAGCTGCTCTTCCCTGGGGTGGCCATGCCAGCATCAGCAGGGCAACACTTGGCCACAAGCTGCTCTGCTCACTGGCAGACAAAGCAACTGAAAGTCTCTGGCCTGCTTACAGCAGGTCTGACAAAGCATAGCAACCTTTTCTGCCCTGAAAATATAAATCCTGGTAGGTTAAGAAATGAACCTGTACTGCTATAGCTCACTGTTGCTAAACCCATCTTCTGAGGGTTTTGAAATAGATATTTATGAGCAGATGGTACTAATCACTGCTGTAGTGATATACTCAGCTCCTGGTTTTGTGGTTTCTAAACGCCAGTTTTGGCAAGACTTTTTAAAAGCTATTTGAGAAAGAAAGACAATCTCTTGACACACATCTCTGTGTAAAATTTCTTTAGTTTTGCCAATGGCAGTTGTTTGTAGAGACCCTGCATATTGTAGAGGCCACTGCTTGCTCCTGGCCATTCACTAGAATGGAAACTTGAACCAATGATATTTATAATGAATGTGCAATAAATCTGTGGAAAAGCTGCTTTGTTAATGGCTCTTGATTGAGTTCAAGTATTTTTGACATATATGGATGAAGCTATTCAGAGCTGGCCTGGCCTGCTTGACAGGCAGGGCCTGTGTTGATTGGTGTCTGGAAATGAAACCCAAACAAGGATGTCTCAACTGTGTGCTGGGCCAGAGTCCTTCCAGCCTCACTGGACACCCAGAGCTTCAAGGGCAGAGCATTGGAGTGGAATTCTTCAGTGCTGAGGGGGAAAGCAGATCTCCTGAGTGTGGAGGAAGGATACACCCAAGTGGAGGTGAGCATAGCTAAAAAGAAGCAGCTAAAAATGTTGCTTTAGGTTTTCTATTAGGACAATCAAGCACTGCAAAAAGCCTGCATCTTTTTTTCACTGGGTGAATGAATGACTAGCATTCTGTAAAAATGGCCTGTATTTGAAACTGGAGTGCAGGCTTGGGTATTCCAGAAAGCCTCACTGGGTATGTAGGCACTAACAGCTCACACACGGGAGGTGTATTTGATTATCTTGTGTCACAGACTTCATGTAGCAACAAGAACACTTGATTGGGAGATCAGCTTCATGGCTGGAGTGTTTTCAGCTCCAGCAGCTGTACGGGAATTATGCCGTTTGCTATTTTTGTTTTTCTAGTTTTTAGCTCTTGAGTAGACTCAGGAGTAGAATTAATGATTGCTTTGGAACTGGGGAGTTCCTTAGGCTTTAGGTGAGTATTGGGGGAACCTGTCATCCAGCTGCCACTGCTGTGTGGTGACAGCATCACCTGTGAGAAGGATGGCATCCATTTCTAACGAGAATTCTGGGATGCTGTTAGATCTTGTGATCACAATGGCCTTTTGCTAAGATCTATAGCAAGAGGATGTAAACTCCTAAGGGCTGAGGCTTGGCAGCTGGTTTGGATCAGGGTTGCTTTGCTCTTGCTAGGGGGAAACGGGTGGTTTATAGCGAGTATGATGGAGCAGTTAATGTTGAAAGAGTGCATTGCTCAGGGCGGATTACATACAGGTGTGGTAGCTGCAGAACACAGGTTTATGGCAGGGCAGTCCATGGGGGTGTTGGAATTCCAGTATGTATCCTTAAGATACCAGGTGTTTCCAGTGCAAAGCAGGGATGGACATAATGCTGGAAGCGTGACTTGAATGTGTGAAGATGCTGGCCAATATCTGCATTGAAAAATGACAGTCTGCAGTTCTCATAGTCCAGCAGGATGCCAATCCTTCTGGGGGGAATAGTAATTCTGATGTCGGGTGTCATCCCGCTGTGCAGGAATTCATACTTGTGCCTGCGGGCAAGAAAAACAAAAGAGCTGAAGGTACCCTGGCTGCTCTCAAAGGGAAGCATTTTGTGCACAGAGGTGCCCAGGTTGCTCATGAGAGTCAAAGGCAATAATGTTAATGCACCAGTGTCCAGGGGAGAGCCAGCAGTGCAGCTGAGGCAAGAGGGGAGCTGGCATTTCTGCAGGCAGGTATGACATACTGGTATAGCTGGGTTTAGCTAGGTATGTAGTTTCTGGATTAAACAGATCTATTACCCTCTGTCTTCCTACTGAGGTTTTGGTAATGTTTACAGCAAAATTCTGCAACTCTGATTTTATTCAGATTTGTTCCTGCAACTGCTTGTTTCAGTGTAACAACGTCTCATTTCAATGAGAATGTACCGCAGAGAGACCCTTCAGCTTGATTGACTAGCATCCTCCCAGAATCAACGGCACTGGGTGCTTTGAAGATGCAAATCTGCAAAAAACAGGTTTTGAAGCAAGGAAATTGGGCAAAATAACCCGTGCCAAATGCTTCTGAAACAACCTAAAAAAGCAGGGAGATTTGCTTAAGTGTTCCAGTATCCTTCTAAGACCAGTTTACAGTGATAGCAGTGGAATGTCAGAGGCCCCAGTGCCTGGTCTCAGCTGATATAAAATTTCTGGTTTCTCTGCTGCCCTGCCTGAAAGTGCAAGAGATGTTCCTGTCAGACCCCTTACCTTGAGGGTGTGATGATGTGCCTCATGCACCAGGATGAGTTATTTGCCCCCAGGTGCCCATGTCTTGGAGTGTTCTCAAAAGCCACACCAGTTCTGTACTCTGTATCTTCCTCAACTTCCACCTCCCAGTAATGCTTTCCTGGAAATGGGATCAGACTGCCCAGGATCGCAATACATCTGTGGGAGACAGGAATATGTGTTTTGACAGGGCCTCTCTAGAATGCTCTTTACAGTGTTTAGATATGTTCAGGTATGTATATAGCTGGACATCACATAGCAATAAACAAAAGCCACTTCTGTCTCCTTAGTAGTGCAATGTGGATTTTTGACTCCAGTGAAATCCCCACGCTGAGGAGCTGACACCCAGCCTGCAGGTTTCTTTGTGACACCTGCCCTGTTTTTACTTGTGGGTAGCTTTGTACAAATGAGTGCCCTGGGCACTTCCAGGAAGATGGAGAACAGCATCCCATAGTGGCTGGGTTTTCTGGGAAAGTTAATGCTTGTTAGAAAAGAGAGTGCTCTGGTGAGCCCCAGCATAGCAGGAGAAAAAAGTCTACAGATTTTGCATTTTCTTTCCAAAGAGCTCAGAGTTCTGAACGTCACTCACCATTAGGAACTGAGCACTGTAACAGCATGAAGTTCCTGGGGCAGCTGGGGAGGAGGGAACCTGTCTACAGTGTTTGGAAAGATTAGGAAGAATTGAACACGGTAGGAGAACTTGTAATATGCTGAGTACTTGGGCCATGAAATGTATGATAGGAACCATGCAGAAAATAATTCTTTTGAAAGATGTGTAGTAGAGACAAAGACAATGTACTACAGAGAGACCCTTCAGCTTGATTTACTGGCAGAGTCTTGGTGTCAAAGGAAATGGGTGCTTTGAAGATGGAAGTCTGCAAAAACACAGGTTCTAAAGAAAGAAAATTGTGCAAAATAACCCACTCCAAATGCTTCTGAAACACTCAGGAGGGCAACGTGAGTCCTGTAAGCTTACACCTCAGCTTTTTCTCAGGAAAAATCCATGGTGTATTAGCTGTCATTGTCAAGGGGGACAGCAGGTTTCAAACACCCACAACTTTTATGTTTCTATGGTAGTGTCTAAAGTTGTAAGTTACAAAGGAAAAGGATGTTGCTGGCAGACACTGAGCTCTTCTAGGCTATGCTGAGAGAGCTGCAGTCATCATTTGGAGGGTCTGTTGTGTGAGGATGGGCACGCACAGCACAATAGCTCTACTCTGCCCCTGCAGCTGCACTTGCTTAGAGCAAATGTACAGTTCATTGCAAGTGCATGTAAATGTCTTGGGAGCAACTTAAACGCTGCTGAAATCAGAACTCAGAGGGGCTGTGTTGCTACAGCTTGAGAAGGAAAAGGAATTATGCAAAATGGATGAGTAAACATCTGTGAATAAAACATGACCATATTAAGGAGAGCTGCAAAGCTACCAAGGCACACCTGAGCTGTGCTGAAGAAGCAACTAGGAAATACATCAGCCACGCAAACTTAAGTAGAGTTGAAAGAAGAGTTTGCCATGGGAGCTTTTTTTTTTCAGTATCTTGATTTGAAGGAGATTTGTGAAAGTTCATAGTGAGACCAAAACCTCAGCCTTTGAATGAGATTACTGCCAGCTTTGGCTGTTTATGTGAACCATAAAAGCATCCCATAGAAGTGGGATGAAATCCCGTTTAAGATTTCCATGATGGCTTTAATGAAAAGGATCACCAGTCTCCCAACTCTTTTCTACCAAGCCCTCTAGTAGCACTGCATTTCCATGGAGGGAATAAAGTGTAGATTTGTATTATCCTGCATTTGCAGATGCCTGTCCTGGTTATATGGTGTTTCTGTGGTTTTGACTGGAAATATGTGTTTTGGCAAGTTTAGTCTCTCACTTCAATGGCAAAGGGCCTAATTCTTTTTTGAAAGTAATACCTGTTGCTTCAAATAGTATCAGTTATATCTTTCAGCAAGAGGTAAGTTTTCAGATCCTTCTCCTTTCCTTAGCATTTGTTATGGCACCTATATACCTGTTCAAATTTAGCTCAGTGTGCCAGACATGTAAGTAGGCTTGTACATAATTGTGGCTGCTGCATCTGTAATCCTATTTAAGAACTTGCATTAATATTCAAGTTCCAAAGAGCAGCTGGAGAGAAGGATTTCAACTCAAAAAGTTAATCAGAGCTGCTGAAAGCCCCATTAGACATTTCCTGGCATCTGTTAAAAGAACCAAATAAATTGAAATGCCCCTGTTTACCTTGTAAAGCTGTTATCATAGACAGGCAGATCACACTCTGGGTTTTCCAGTTCATCACATGAAATGGTAAATCCATCATCTAGAATTGCCAGTAAAGGATGGGCTGTGTCCTCATTAAGGTGGAAGCAGGTGCCTGCAAGAGAAAATGCCTGAGGATAACTCCAGTAACTCCTTAGAACATTACAATTGCAGCAAGGCTGTGATGAAATATTGTTTGGATCCACAAAAATATTCAACAATGCTCTAGAAAGAATCTGTGGCTGACATTCAGAGGACAAGATCATATTTTTAAAGTTTTTCTAATAAATGGCAATTTTACAGCTTAACACCGTTTAGTTTCAGCCTTGTGAAAAGCAGGGGACCTAGCCTGGTTTTGAACCCTACTAGAGCTCAAAGCTGCAGACATTGTGCAAGAAGTAGCTATTCAAAGATGAGGGTCCTCCTGCAATGGACTGTCTGGTTTCAAGTAATCTATTTTTAATCACTGAAATGAGAAAGGGGTATTAAAGGACTTTTCATGGCCTCACTCATCCACATAAATGCTGGGCACAGTTTGTAGATAAAGGATCCCTCATGCTTCAGCACCTCCCTTGTCAGAGCAGCCCCCAGAGAGGTAAGTCCAGCCCAAGATAAAAGCGCTTCTGCCTTTCTTCCTGCAGGGACTTCACAGAGCAGGTGTGATGCCCTGGGGCCTGAGGAGCAGCCACGATTGGCACAGCTGCTGTTTGTAGCTGTTGTTTGTTTATCCACCCCAGAAAGGATCAAAGGCCATTCACAGTATTGGAGGTGGGTTCTTGCAGCCGACAGATCAATTTGCATCAGCTGTTCGCTTAATGTAGACTCCGAGAAGATAAATCTCCCCATGGTAATCCCAAATGAAATCATTATAATCAAACTGCAAGTTACTTCATTGCAAATACAATACAAACAATGACAGGGCAATTACAGGCATGTGCTGCTAAAAACAAACACATGCTGTGCAAACAGAATGGGCAATTTCAAATATTGAGTTTGATTTAAACAGTTGGAATACACAAAAGTGGTGGTAACACAATGAGAGTCTTCCTCTCCAGGGATTTAAGGACAAGCATTTCTTTTCTGTGGTGTCACTGCTGTGTGGCAGACAGGTTTTTTACTGAAACATAACTTTGTGTGGTCATCTTGCTGAATAAATACAATTTTCAAATGTCTCACAGAAGGTAAGGGTGGAAGAGACACAGATAAGGTTTGAACACATCCATGAGTAGCAGGGGAGATTTGAGATGAGCAGTGAAGTTGCAGTGTCATTGCAGCAGTGATGAAGGTGAGCACTGATATCTGCTAAATGGCTCTAGAAATTGCTGTCTCAGCCATAATTTCCAGCAGCAGCTTCATTACATGGTAATCTCTGAACTAAAATCACACTACAACTTTCCTCATTGGTGTTTCAGTACTTTGCAGGCTGGCAATATACATGGGTGTTGAGTTGCCACTGTCTTTTAAAATGTTTAGAAATTAGTAACTTCCAAGTATCAAATGTACGAGACAGCAATAATACAAATTACAGAGCTAAAGCAATGCACTCATTGTTACAAGAAGTTGGTCTTTTAATTCCTAAAAGGTTACCAGGTGTGTAATTAGATGTAAGAGATTAAGACCTGGTCCAGAGGCCATTGAAAGCAGCAGGAATCTTTCTGTTAAGTCAATAGATACTACAGATAGGCTGCTGGAGTTGTTCCAAGCTGTACAGTACCTGTGGTGTGTATCAGGATAGGGTCACTTCTTTCACTGGAGCCACCCAGGTTGTGGGCTCTGACACAGATGTGATACTTTTGTGTTGGCTGGAGGTGAATTAGGACTTCACAGTTAGGGATCCCAACAATAGATCTACAGAAGACAAATCCATAATGATAGAAAATGGTAGGGTAGAAAACAAAGCTAGGCCTTTGAAATTATTTTTCTGAGCAACAAAGAAGAAATTACACTTCAACTTGTCTTGTAACCAATCAACATTTTACCTTGTACAGTTGTCAGTAGCAGGGCAAGAGCGTGTCTGTGACAGACTGCAGATTTTTACATTTGCTTCTGCTCTTTTCCCATACCCATAATTCTCATATAGTAATTTTTGATTTACATTTTACAACCAATTTTACTAAGAGGACTGTTTGTAAATGTAAATTCGCCAGAAGGTCACAGGTCCTTTCTTAGTCCTATCTGATGCCACACGATTGAAATGTCATCTCTACAGGTCATGGGCTCAATAGAAGAGTAACTCACTCAGTAATAATATCATCATTTTCTTCATCTGTCAGCTTGGACAATTCAACCGTGTAGGAATCAACAGGGTTGATGTCTCTGGATTCCCAGCACACCAGAACTGCATTTTCACAGCTTTGGATCTTTTTATTCTTTATGATAGGTGGTGAAGGAGCTAAAAAGTAGGCAAAAGAACAATTCTAAGCTGTTGGTTGAAGATGTTTGCAAACAACATAGTTTGAAGACAAAAAAAATAGAAAAATGTTGTTTACTAATCCTATATAAAGAACTCTGCTTCCCCAATAAACAGCAGGTAGAGTGATTAACAGTGCTATTTAAAGATTTCATTTAGACTATAAAGGTCCCAAATAATTAAACAGAGAAGTAACATAAAGACTGATTACACAACTGTTTTCTATCTGTTCTTATCTTTGTCATAAAGGTGCCTCTCTGCTCTGAGATGTCAAAGACATCTGGAGCAAGCACTCGAAGGTCTTACACTGACTTGCTCAATCTGATGTCAGGATTTCACACAACGTCCTAGACTGAACTGCAGTTAAAAAAACCCAGCATATCAGGTGAATCCACAAAATAGCTATAGGCCAATAAAAGGAGAGCTGGGATTCATCTGGCAGAACCAAGAAACTTGAACCTTATTCACAGCTGGTCTACATGCTCGCATTTAAAATTAAGTTATTTTGTCTCTCTGCTTCTGTCTCTTCCATTCTAAAACAGGGACAGTTGGCATGATAGGCTCTCCAAATAAAAGTAGGGAATTCCCAAGCAGTCAGTAGACTTACATCAGAAGAAAGAAAGTGCCCAGAAAGCATTACTGACATAAAATTCAGAGATGATTTTGAATTTCACTATGAAGGTTACAAAGTCATATGAATAAAATATTCTTACCTGTTACATAAACTGCTCTTTCACTTGGTGGACTGATACCGGAGGCATTTAAAGCACTGACCCAAAATTCATACTGTGTATTTGGCAACAGGTCAGTAATGGTGCAGTATGTTTCTTTGACTTTTAGTGTATGCTCTGAAATGACAACAACAAAGAATTTACGGTGCCTTTACACAGTTGCCCACTCTTCCCCAAAGCTGCATCACACAGTGGAGTTGGGGTGCATTGTTTTGGGTGCTGAGTTCAAGACAGCTCCTTTTGCTCCACACCCTTTGATTAGCTGTCAGGCAGTTTCACAATGCTTTCCTCTAAAGCAGCATAAATCAGATGGGACAAGAGCTGAGGCTATTTTACTGCTCATTTCTCATTCTTCATCTTATAAAATTTGGATAGTTTCTGCTTTTCTTTCTCAACTGGCCACTGACACTCTACTGGCTTCCACTTTTGAAGGTTCTACAAGAGCAGGATTAGCAAAGGCAGCTTTGTCACAAGGCTGGGACATTTTGGTTCTGTGGTTCTTTGTGTGCCTGTGGATCTTAGGGAATTACAGCCTATTATTAGCACTAAGATAAGTTGTAAAATCATCTGGGGATTTCAGTGAAAGTGATGATTTGCTCTTTAAAAATACTGTGCTCTGCTATGGATGCAGCTCATGCGTTCTAATGCAGTGCTCACCCTCCAGAAATCCTTGTGACTCCATCCACTGACCCCTTCCCATTCCTGCTATCCCTGCTGCTGCCATGTCCTGTCTTTGCCCCTGTGAGGGGTCCTGCTGCAGCTGGCAGCAGGGTAGACGTGGCAGGGGAAGAGGGACAAAGCAGATGGTGGCAGATATGACAGTTTTGGTGGCAGACAGAGTGCACAAGACATGCAGAGGCACTTTGGCATCAGCTGGTTTTGCCAATGGAGGGCTGAGGTGTCCCACTGAGCCCAAGCTCCCTTACCTGCTTGCCCATCACTGTGCCTCTCGTTGCTCACTGGTTTGTAGCACAGCTGGTAGCACTCCACAGTGTCATCTGAGAACAGGCCCCAGCAAACCCTCAGTGAAGTGCCAGTTGCTGCATTGGGAGCCTGGGGATTGATCACAGGGGCACAAGGAGCTGCAGATGGAAAACCAGGTCAGTTTTTGAATGTATAATCATGGTTTGTTGTACCTCTCTTCTCACAAAGGTATTTGCAAAAAGCCTTGGCACTGAATAGGGTCATATTCCTCCATTGCTCCCACATGGAGAAAAGTCAAGGAGCTGATTCTGAAAACAGTTGCAGATAATAATCAAGTCACTGGTGTGTGAGGACTAGTCTTGCTTCAAATCAAAGTCAAAACAACAAAATAAAGTAGTCTCAGCCTACCCCTCCTCTGTAAACTCCACCTCCCCTGCTCTGAGGGCTGTTCCAGTGAGCCCAACATCTGCCACGCCAGCACTGCTGCCAGCCACCCTGGGCATCAGGGAAAAGCTGTACAGCAGGGGGGCATCAACACAAGCAAACTAGTACCAAATACTGTTTTAATGTTAAGAAAACACAGTACTGAGTGTAAAAAAAAAAATAATATTCTTTCTGACCATTTGTGATGCATCAGAAAATATTTATCATTTTAGGAGTTTTTTTAGTTATTCAAAATTCTTTTATGTAGTGCTGTTTCCTGTGGATTATGGGGAGAAAATGCTTGCTAAAAATCAGAGGAATAAGTCACTGAAATCTGTTTATCAAGAGAAGCTGTGTAAGTTATTTAAAGCAGTCTGGGGTTCCTCTCTATTTTGTTCAAGCAACTACAAGGTAAGACAAGTTATCACCGACTAAGCATGTCTGACCCCTCAATAAAAGTGGGTAATCTTCATGAGTCTTCTAGGAAATCATTCAGCAAAAGTGAGGAAGTCACAATTTAGCAGTAATTTTGGTCATATTATATTGAAAACAAATGGAAAAAAAATCCAAAAATATCTTCCAGTGTGTCTGTATATACAGGTAAATTAAAAAAAAAAAATAAGGAAAACTAGGGAGAACTTAATTCTGCTTTTGCAGATCTCCTTTTAAAGAAGTAATGTTTAATACATGTCCTTACTCAAATGTAAATAGGTGTGAAATAATGATCAGTTAGGGAGAGAGTACCTGGAATAGTATTAATGGAGTTCATTAGTTGTTCAACTTCAGAGACATCTATGACTCTCTCTTCAAAGTCTGGCAGGGTTGAAAGCTCTAAATCCACTTCTTTCTTTAAGAATTCTTCCAGCCTGTAATTGTAGGGGAAAAAATAATATCTAATTGGAAGTACCATAGTGTTGGAGATATCTGTGATGCCTATTTATAAGAGAAGAAGAACAGCAGACTCCAAATTAACATCTCTTTCCTTAAAACACCGTTTTCATAGCTGTACAAGCTCAGTCTCCTCGTGCCTATAGCTTGGAGATACGTGGCCATCAGTGCTGCAAGATGCCAAAGAGAGCTGGCTGCTGCTGGGGCTGAGGACCACCCTTGTGTGCCCTGCTCCTGCAGGAGCTGCCTGTGCACACCGAGCAGGGAGTGAGGTACCCTGTTAGCTCCATAACTTTCATTATTTTGAATCTACACTATTGCTAATTCATGACCTCGTTGCTCTAGGTGTTGTAAATTTGAAAAAAAAGAATATCCTTTTTCTGTGTTTTCATGAACAATAACAGTCGATTAAGAGGGGGTTTTTTGCATATGATTTAGTGTGCCCTAAGACTTCTTCTAATTGGTCCAAGATTTTTCAGTATTTGTTTTGAGCTCCCCCAGCTTGACTTTCTAGCCCACCATATTAATGCATAAATAAGCCTGTTACAGTATATTTAGGGAGCTCAGTTTTAGTCTCATTTAGATCCAGAGTGTTTCTTTCAAGAGCTGTAACAATCCTGTTCCTCAGTGAAATTAGTTCCTTATGACTAAACTGAAAACACTAATTTATTCAGGCTCTAACTCTCCTTTTGGATTTCTTGAAATTGGATACAAACAAGTGTTGAGTGTTAAGTTTCTTAGAGCAACTTTTTCTGATGCACTTTAAAACAAAAAATTCTAAATATTTCAATAGCTCTGGTGGCTTAGACAACATTTGTGTGCCTGAACAAAGTCCAGAACGTGCAAGCATCTCCAATAACCTGTCCAATTAGCAGGAAGAAATGTGACACAAAATCCCAGAGTGTGATACTACCTGTCAACCATGGTTACTGCTGCCTGTTGGAAAAAAAAGAGAGAGTGTTAGAGGTAGAAAAGTTCATAGTCAGACTACATCATGCTGTTCATCTGTCTTACATAAATTGCCCCAAATGCAGCCCTTGAAGTAATTTGCTCTCATCCAACTCTGAGAAAAAAGGCAGCCCTTTCTATTCAAATGGAGAGATCTTGGCTGAATTTACAGTAAGATAATGAGCAATATCATGTAGTCATCAGTGTCTGCCCACCTAGACTTTAGACTGATTCCTCCCTTGGCTGTCTGAAGTGCCAACAGATCCCTCACCAACAGAAACCAAAATCAGCTGGGCAAAAGAACTCAGTGAAATGCTCTGTGCTGGAGGGAGTCTGAGCAGTGCATGTAACTGGAAGACAGAGGTACAGTCCCAGGAGAAACCTAAGCAGCTGAGAACTCATGACCAACATTCATTTCTTGATGAATTCTTAGGGACAATGTAAAACTGTTTACAGGCTAAGGAGAAAATAAGTTTATTTCAGAGATGCAGAGGAATGGGAAAAGTCATCTCATGTGAAAAACTCAGCAGGTTGGAGTCACAGCAAACTGACCAACTGGAGTGCACTGGAGATGTTATGAGATTTGTTGTCCAATTCAGAAGTTACTGTCACTGTGCTATAGAAATGCTCCCACCCACCTTAGTCACAAGGTAACCTGAGCTGTGAGAGAAATCACTCACCATCAGTGAAAATTCTGATTTTTTTCCAATTATTTTTCTACCTGCCAAAGAAAAACACCTTCTTGACACCACCTCAAGAGTGGGATTTCATCCATCACTTTGCAGGAACTCTTGACGTATTTCAGCTGAACTTTCCTCCAAAATGAGCAAAAAAAGGAAACATCTTCCTAAGTGATTACATCAGCCTGCCTGCTGTGAGCCCGGAATAGAGCAAGAGAGCTGAGCCTGCACAAGGCAAGGAACAGTAAGTGCTTCCAGAGTTTCCCCAGATAAGCACTTCAGCAAGATATCTTCTCTCTGAACCCCAGTGACTCACAAATCAATGAGCATCCAAATTACAAACTTCTGCTTCTGCATCTTGCCTGCATTGTGTTGCCCTACTAAGTCAAAACCACCATGCCAAGCACTTAGAGCAGTGACAGCACCATAGACTGAGCATCCCAAATTCTCCCTAGCAATAAAGGCTGCTTAGGACTTCTCAGATGGAGACTACTTGCAAGCAGCAAAAAGCACTTTGACAGTTAAAGCTCTTTACCTTCATAAATTCAGCTTTGTCATTCTCCAGGAAAAGCTCCTGGGTTTCATCTGTCAGCTCCTTGCAGGTGTCAAGATGTTTCCCACAACTGACCAGCTGCTCATACAGAGCTTCCAGCTTCTGCCTCTTCTCTTCTCCCAGTGCTTCCAGCTGCTCTTCATACTTCTGTGCAAGCACTTGCACTGCATCGTTGTAATGCACCTCAAAGTTCTGTTCCTGCCTCCCAAAATTTTCCTGCAAGGTATTTGAGGGTTTGTACCTTGGCATCAAGCCTGATCCACAGGTCATGCAGAGGAAAATCTTACTCTGGTTTGCCTAAACTTCTCCCTACTACAGAGGTAACATGTCATGATTTAATTCCCAAAACTAGGACACAGTACCAGTACACAGAAGCTGTAATTTGACTTACGTGCATTTTTAGGGGTTTACTCTGATCATTCACACCCACCGAAGCACAAAAGTGTTGGATTTTGTTCCAGATATGACAGCAACAGAAATTTCAACAGGAATGATGTAAGGCAACCTAAACCCAGGGAGCACAACTAGGATATATCCTAGCCATAATCTCACAAGCATTTCTACCAACGCAGTCGAGCTCATCCTTCCATGATAGAAACCATGGCAACTCAGTGGGATCCATGGATTTGTGCTGAGGGAGCTGGGCAGCTAATGCTGGTATCCTCACTCACAGCTGGAGAAAGCATTAGGAAGTAAGATTTAAGGAGCAGGCAAGTCTTTACTGCCAGCAGCTGCCCACTGTTCAGGCACCGATGTCCTCCTGTGCCACATGCAGCAGAGAAAAGACTGTAGTGCCTTGAGTTATTGCTTCAGTTTGAACTTGCTGGCAGCTGACCTCCTTCCCCTGGGGCCAAGCTGACAGCAGCCGAGTGGGAGCACAACTCTTGAAGTCATCGGCTTGAAGCAGCTGGTCCAAGGATTTGCCTGGATCTGAGACTTCTGTGAATGAAGCTGAGGGAGCACAAGCGCTGCACTCTGGATGGACTAGTTAGATCACAGTTCTTTGGCCATTTAAAACTAACATGATCTGCGTGGGGGTCACTTTATTTCTGAATGCAAATTTCTGTGCATATTATAAGTGTGGTTTTACTAGCCCACTTAAAAAATCTTTAGGATGAGTTTTCCTGAGTACTTCAGTCCAGACAAACCGCAAGATAACTCTGGACTCTGTTACTGTAAGTACTCACCTCATTAGCAACTGAACAGTATGAATGTCAGTATGACTGTCAGAACTGTTTAACCCCCTTACCATAAATTTAGCCCAAGTGCAAATGCCTTACCTCTACAGTGATGAAGATTTCCTCCAAATGGCTGGCAACATTTTCCATCTGAGCAATCTGTTCCTCCAACCTGCACATGTTTTTATGGATCTCCTCCTATAAAACACCCAGTGTGATTCTTACTATGTCTGAAGACTGTTTTAGAGGCACCCAGTACACCTGTGTTACTCTCACCTTTTCACTTTCCAGGGCACTGGGGAGCTGAGCAACCTCGTGATCCTTGTGTTCACCAAATAGTTTGTCAAAAGCTCGGATTGGTATCTTGCAGGTAGAACAAAAAACATCTGCTGCTTCTTCCTCTTCCTCCTCTTCCTCCTCCTCACTGACAGCCTGACTGTTCCATTCCTCTGACATGCCACCACTGCTTAGCCCCCCTCTGGACCATATGTTGCTCTCAGCCTCATCATCTGCTCTGGCTTTGCTCTGATTTTCACCTTGAGAAACCTCATCAGGAAGTCCTTGTTGCTTTGTGCTCTGATTTGGATCTTTCACGGAAGGGCTGCTTTTTGATGTGTTATATATGGAGCCTTGTGATCCTGCTTTTTCTGTGCGAGCAGGTGGCCATCTGCTCTCCACCTTCTCCAGATGTCCTCCAAGAAGCTCAAGCTCTTTTTCTCTATCCTCATCAAGTCCATACATCTTAGCCAACTCTGCAACCTCCTTTTCCAAGTCATAGCCAACTTCTTGTGGGCGCTGAACTTTTTCACTACTCAATGTAGATTCCCTTGTATCCCCCAGAGATCTGTCTCCTCGACCAGAGAACTCTTCAGGAAAGATATCAAACCTCTCCTTTGATCCATAAAGATCCATGTGATAAAATACCAAACCTTCAGTCTCAGGGTCACTAGACTCTGGGACTGGTGGGGAAGCTGAATGATCCTGTGACTGGCTGCTAGTCTCATAGCCTCTCGTGCTGCCAGATCTGGATGACATTGGTGTCCTCGGGGAGGCTTTTGAGATGATGAGTCTCAAGCTTGTAAAAGACAAGAAGGATCTTTAGCTACATACTTAGATATCAGGATTGAGTTTTTCTTGCTTAAAAGTATATAGATAGAATAGATTTGGCTGAGGACTGCTCAGGCCCTGGAGGTAGACATGGGAAAGACAAAAGTCAGTAGCTTTGCTCTATGAGTGAAGCTTCTGAAGGGAAGCCACAGGAATCTTGTTTTCTTCTCACCTCAGTGCAATGCTCAGAGAGCTCAGAGAGCTCAGAGAACTGTCTCTACTGTGCATCCTCTTTTGTGAGTACCTCATCTGTGACCCTGATGCCTGATTTCCCAACTGTAGAGTAGTCCTGTCCTCAGACAAACACTGTGACTGTGCTTCAGGCATAGTTAGTGCTGTTCTGTGCAATTGGAAATGGCCTGGTTTGAAGCCTGCTCACCCTTCAGCTGCTGTCAAGCATGTTTTCTGAACTGTCAGTCAGGCATAATGTAGAATGTCCTCTGTTGTGACCACTGATGCCACAGAACACACTAGCAAATGCCCTGAAAAGTCCTGTTCTGCATTTTTCAAGTTGCCATTCTTAACACTGAAACTTGAGTCCAGGTCGTGGGTCCTTTCTAAAAAATAGCACAGACAAAATATACTGCCCTTTGGGGCTTCTCATGTGCTGTGGAAAATATACATTTTAACATATAAAGCATCCAGTAACTACGGAGCAAGGCAGGCCACTGACCTCTGGACTGAGAGATGCCTGCTCTGACCCAAACCTTGCACATTTTGTCTATTCTGTGCAAGGAGGGAGGTGTGAAGACAGCATGTGCAGATGACATGCAAAGCTGTACCATAAAGCAGATACACGTGGGACAACATTAAAACTGCAAAGGCAATTTTAATGCTGATTCCCCAAGCCCACTCTTTCCAACCAGCATGTATCAACAGCAGTGAAATATTGCCAGTACAGAGTCAGAGCTCTCTCTGAGCTGAAATGTCTCCACAGCCCTCCACTGCTCACCAGCATGAATGGAATCACAGCTACAAAACTACTCAGATCAACTTTATCAGCAGTTTAGTACCACAAGCAAAAGACTTCACAGAAAGATTTCAGCTGAATATCAATTAACCTGTAATCCTAGGTAAATGAAGCATGTGAAAGCTTTAAAATCATTTTCTCACAGAAGAAGAAAAGCCAAAAGATCAGTCAGACATCAATTCTATCACAGCTTCTGGATAGTTTTCACATAAGTTTGTTTTAAAACTACTATTTATGGTCTTTTTAGTTTTGAGTAGTTGTTATTGCCTTTAATTTATTTCATCAATATTTTACTAATTTTCCTGAGAAATGCTTAGCTAACAGAGTAAACACAATCAATGATTTAGTAGAAAGCCACTTCCCAAACCAGTGAAAAATACTGAGACATTTTGCCCTCTCTGGTTTTATATCCCTAGATGAGTCCAGCCCTACAGATCTGTAAGAAAACCCACACAAGAAATTAATCATTTGTCTTCTGGCACTGCAGACTTGGGTGTGGATTCTATAGCTAGCAATATCCTATTATAGACAAAAACACTGAAGTTAGGCAGAAATACTATTTACGCAAAAGGCAATTAAAAAAAATCATGCAAATTCTAACACTTTAAACAGAGAAAAGGTCTTAACACATACCAGAAAATGTTGTCTGGCTCCTGCAAAGACTTTTTTCCCCATAATTAAAACAATAAGGCTTGCTTTAAAAACTACTACTAATTAGAAAAGTGAATTAACATTTATTTTTCCTACCAAAATGAAATGAAATAAATTGAAATGAGCATAATTAAGCTTGTCTGCAATCCTGCTGCCTAAATAAGATTTTCAGATGATTGCTCAGTGTTTGCTTGCTTTGCAGGCACAGATAAAATTACATGAAGCACGTTTAGATCCGTGACTGTCAGTTATCGTAAATACATAACAAAGAATGTTACTACCTAAAAACTTGCCTTCTATCTTAAGACGTCATAAATTCTTCTGATAGCTCAGATGGCATCAAAGTTAACTTCTATTCCCCTTAGAAAAAAATTAATTCACATGAAAGCAATTCCTTGCCACTTTCCTATAACTGCAGTTGGAAGACTTATTGCGGTAACCTTACCCTGCCTCTTTGCTCAGATAGGGGCATGCCAGCAATGAGCAATGGCACAAATATAGATGTGCCCCGGCTGTCCTTCAGCAGTGAGCTACTTGAGTGTCACCAGGATGAATGTCATACACTGAGAACAGGCTCTGAAGGTTCATTCCTGGATCTGAAGTACTTAGAACAGTTACAGAGAGCCTTCACTAAAGCCAGAGTACCCTCTCACTTTTGGAGGTGGTATTAATAAACACTGCAGAGTGCATTCATTGCCTCTGGGTGTGATTTCCAAGGCTGGGGTGTTAGGCAGAGTATGGTGTGTGGGATACACAAAATGTGCAAACAGCTCATATGGCTGGACATGTGTTTACAACATAATTGCACAACTAAATGAAAGTACCTGTTCTGTTCTTTGCAAACACTTACTGGTAAAGTCATCTCTCTCAAATTAGCAGAAGCTTTTCTATGGGGCTGAGTTGGAATCATGATCATATATTAGAAAAAAAAAAAAAAAGAAAATTTAGAATTTAGAAAAAAAACCATACCATTACATATTCTTATTATGCATATCCATATATTCACACCCTGTGTGTGTATGCCAGACCTCTGGAAAGCTAATTACAGTGAAGAAAGTGGACATTGGCCTCGCTAGAGGGATTTTCACAGGAACATATCCCTTCAGTCTGTGCTCAGTAGGGGTGAACCTGATAAAAACAGGCTGTGTATTTCCACTGATTATTGTGACTGCTATAGCACTTGAGCTTTGTGAATCTTCTCAAACCCACAGCTACCCAGTACACACAGGCTGCTGCTTGTGAACACACTACCAAGCCAGCCCTGCTGGCAGTAGATTTCTAAGCACGTTTGAGCATGTTGTATTATATATGGCTTGAGCTCAGGGGACACCACAAGGGACAATGTCTATTAGATCTTGACACAGCTCTGATTTTTCCTCCTTTTCCAATTATCTTGGTGTAATTTCCTCACTTTTCTAGCAGTGCAATTGTTTGCTGTTTGGTGAGGAGTCGCAAGTTAATTGCCCATGTAGGCACGATCTCATTACTGCTAACAGTGCTTCTATCATCTGTGAGATTGGAGTGGAAGTGTTTTCATATAGGTGATGCAGCCCTTGCTGAAATGTTAATATTTATGCTGACAGATTTGATTAATTTCTCAAATGAGAGCTTACTTTTGCTTTCTCTTAACCTACGCTATCTTGTAGGCCTTAATTTCTCAAAAAATTAACAGTGTCAACCTTGCTGCCAAAGACTGGAATACATTTGTGGATAGTGAATTACATTCTGCCTTGGACACAGGGCCTGAATAAGAGAGCAGTGACACTGCTCTTGCTCAATCGCCCCACTGCTCTTTGCTCCCCTCAGTGCCCATGAGGCAGCGTTTGGGTGGCATTTATACAAAGCATGGTGACCTTGGCACTGAGCTGGGTGTCAGGACAAGCATCCTTTGGCTGTTTGTGGGCACAGGGCCCCAGGGCTCAGGTTCTGGCTCAAGGCAGCGTGGGGAAGGAGTGTGGGGTTTGCCTGGCTTTGGAGAAAGCAACAACTCGTGGACTTTTGCGAGGATGACAGGCACGACAGCTGGGAGGAAAACTGCCCCTCAGGCAGGGGCTCAAACGTGGGGCTGTGTCCCTTGCTCCCTGCCCACCACTCCTCACAGGAATAGTGGCTTATTTCACAAAGCCTTCCCCTTCCTGTACCTGAAGGAAACACACAGGAAAGATGGGGCAAGATTATTTGCAAGCACGTGTATTGACAAGACAAGGGGGAATGGCTTCAAATTGAGGGTAGTTTTAGGTTACATATGGGGAAGAAATTCTTTACTGTGAGGGTGGTGAGGCCCTGGCACTGGTTGCCATGGGAAGGTGTGGATGCCCCATCCCTGAAGGTGCTCAGGGCCAGGCTGGATGGAGCTCTGAGCAACCTGGTTAGAGGAAGGAGTCCGTGCCCATGGCAGAGGAGAGGGAACTCGATGCCATGTCATCCCATGTCATCCCATGTCATCCCATGTCATCCCATCCCATCCCATCCCGTGATCCTGTGTAAACACGGCCTCTCCCGGGGTCGCCCCTCCCGCTCCTTTTGCTACCGCCCCGTTCATTTTCCACGCCCGCCATGAGGGCCGCCCTGGCCCCGCCTCCGTCTCGGCCCCGCCCCCTCTGCCCCCGCCCCGATCCCATGGTCCCGCCCCCTGCCGCTCCCGCCAATGGGCGCGGGAGCTGCCGGTGACGCAGCGCGCGGCCCCGCCCCTCCCGGCGCTCGGTTTCTGTTTCGCTCCGGGGTGCGGGGGCCGCCGCTGCCGCGATGGAGCCGCAGCCCGACAGCCTGGAGGGGTGGGTGGCCGTGCGCGACACCGCCTTCGCCGAGCCTCAGCCGCCGCCGCGGCTCCGCTTCCTCGTGGGTTGGAACGGCGCGGAGGGCGCGTTCGCGGTGACCTGCCACGGGCGGGCGGAGGCGGCGGAGCAGGCCTCGCAGAGCTGGGCCGGGCTCTTCTCGGCGCCGGCCCTGCGCGGCGTCCACCGGCAGCTGTCGGCCGTGTGCCCGCGCCTGGAGCCCGCCTTCCCCGAACTGCCGCCCGCGCTGCCCGGCGCGGCCGCCGGCGGGCTCTGGGCCCTGCTGTTCCCCGGCGGCGCCGCGCCGGATGAGGCCGAGCTGCAGGAGCTGTGCCGGGCGCTGGAGCTGTACCTGGGCTGGGCCCTGGAGCTCTGCGGCGCCCGCGTGGTGCTGGACGCGCTCTTCGCCGCCGACCGCTGCTGCGACGACGAGTACTTCGAGAGCCTCCACGAGCTCCGCGGGAAGGCCCTGCGCGGCCACCTGGCCCGGGCCAAGGAGGCCCTGCGGCGGGTACGGGCCCCGGGGCCGGGCGCGGGGCGGAGGGAACCAGGGCGCGGGGCTGGCC